AAGGAAGTTTAATTCAATAAATATAGAACTACATATCCTTTCAATTGTCCTAAATTTGCTTCAAATCGATAACATCGAGGACCATATTTGTTTTGTCAAACGTTTGAACTAAAATTACTCTAAGTATTAAACATTAGAGATTAGATTTATTTTTGTTGAAACTTTAAAGACCAAAATTGCACAAGTGTCAAACAATGAGGATCAATTGATCAAAACTGTATTTCTCCGTGATTATAAAATGTAGCAATTCCCAGCTATTGGAAGGGTTTATTACCTGTGTTAGTGACACACTCGATGGCTCAAAGTGAGTAAGGTTTAGCCTGGTGGGCCTTTTAGCAGCAGAGCCCGTCGTTCAGAGACTAGAAATATTACAATTGAAGCCCAAAAATAGGCCTATGATCCGACCCAGATAGCAGGCCATTCAAAATTAAACAATTGCGTCCTTCGTCGCTGCTCAGTGTCACATAGAGCAGCAGCAAAATCTGAGATCTCAAAACAAAACAGAAATGGCGACGGCGTCGTCTTGGGTGGCAAAGATTCTGAACCCAAAGAGCAATCCCTTGGCCGCTATGCACATGAAAGCCATCTCTACCCGCCTCCGCAAATACGGTTCGTTTCCTTCATATTCTTTTGTTTTTTTGGGGGTTCTGGGTGTTGAATCAAATATCCATATAGTATTGCAATAGAATTAGAGGGAGTAACATTTTTGGGATGATTTCGTTTTTTTTTATTTTTTTTTAAATTAACAATAAATAAATGGGGAAAATGGATTTGAATGATAGGGTTGAGGTATGACGACCTGTATGATCTGCTGGAGGACATGGACATCAAAGAAGCATTGAGACGGCTTCCTCCAGAAGTTGTGGATGCTCGCAATCAGCGGCTCTTGCGGGCCATGGATCTCTCCATGAAGCATCAGTACCTTCCCGAACACCTCCAGGTTCCATCTACTTTCCTCTTCCCTTTCTTTTGTTTAATTTTTTTAGTTAAATTTAGATAATGAATTTTTCAGTTTATAATTTTTTCCGATCGTCGAAATAAGAACCTGTGTAAATGAAGATGCTTGTTGTTGGTAATGCAGGCACAGCAGACGCCATTCAGGAGCTATCTTAAAGATATGCTAGCTCTGGTAACTCCTCTCTCTCTCTCTCTAGGAAAATCAACTTCTGATTCCATTTCTGAATAGGTTTTTGAGATTAGTTCTTTCTCTCTAAGCAGGCGTTGTTAAGGCCTGAACCAGATATTCCTTTCAAGTTATTATATTTTCTGCTTTAATTTCGATTTTTGTCTCGCATTTGATTTGAGTAAAGCAGAAAAGAACTCCTATATTAGTTTACAGCCAAAATGGACATTCAAGATAGTATTCAAGTCATGTTGATGTTAAGTTTCAACTTTTCTTTCTTCTTTTTCTTTTTTTTTTCCCAGGAGTAGAAGGAGAATGAAGGTAGGCATTAGAACTCAGCATTCACCATCATAAGATAGTCACAAGCTTAGTGCACTGTCATAGGTTTTGAGCTTTCTCAGTTTTTTATACTACTGAGACAGCGAGCTGGACAATAAGGCCTGACTATCATGACTGTTGTCCTTGTTTTTTAAAACCACCCGTTAGAAGACAGGCTTGCACATCATGAACTGGTTCCTTCTTTCTTAGATGACTCTATTGGTGAAGAAGCCTCAACTGGTTATCGTTTTACAAGTAGATTTGAAAATGAAACCTTTTCACAAGGCTTCTAACATAACTTAGGCATCTAAAAAACATTTTCCATGCATAGATCTGTGGGTCAATGTGAAACTTGTATTTCTTCTGTTGAAAGGCAAGTGTACTTGTATCCTATTTTTGTAACTAGAGAGGCCCTTCAAAAGAGGTTTTGTTTTGGGCAGAAATATCAACTAGTTCAAATGTGAATCAAGTTATTCAAGGTTGCTGGCCACTGAGTAGTTACACGATAACTCGTCGAAGTTGTAGTCTTAGTTCCCTGTTTGTTGGTTTTTACATTTGCTGTGGAGTGCATTACAAGTATCAATGCCACCAGATTTGCTAATGTATAGTGGCAGCTTACTAACATGAATATCAGCTGTGTATGCGCACAGTGTATTGAGCGATATTTCAATTTCATTCCTCATTAACTAATGAAAATGCTGAAATTTTTGTCTTTGGCAGGTAAAGAGGGAGAGGGCAGAGCGTGAAGCTTTGGGAGCTTTGCCTCTTTATCAGCGTACACTTCCCTAAGCTTGATATTTCCTCAGGTACGCAAGTTAGATGCTCTTAGAATTCGGTCTAGCGAATAATAGCTGTAACATTTCATGGGGAGGAAGACCTCCATGGAATGCAATTGATGGGATTTTGGATCCAATCGATGATTTTTCTGTTACAGCAGCAGAGTTTCTGAGCCTGCAGGCACATGTTTTTTGGCCTAATAAGTCTTCACGCAAATGCATATTGAAATTTTTGGCACGCAAACAGCGAGATCCGCAGCTGTGAACCTTTCATTTCCATTTTTCTTGGTCATCTTTGCTATAGTATTCATCAGGTTCTTGATAATGCTGATACTGCTTTGGACAAACTTATTGGACTGCTTCTCGTGTTTGGGCTAACAACAATACGTAAGGCTCATGGTCAATGCGTGAGTTTTGGTTACTAAATGTATCACGGATGTCCAGTTTATAGGATTCCTGCCCAGTGTTTCAAGTGGTGTAACCCAATATTCCGGTGAATGTGCGGGATTGTATTTTATTTTCTTCAAATCGAACTGGAAAGCCGCTTTCAGCAAACCACAAAAATTTTAAAATATCAAACCTCCCGGTTCAATCCTATAGATGGTAGTTAATTTTCTACTGAGCCCAGCGAAATTGTAAAATTTCTTTTATGTAGCGCGGCACGCAGAAGCTATAAATTTGAAGACTAGGAAGATTAGGAAAGCTTTTCCTCCCAAAAAGAGCAGATAACATAAGGACGGGTATATAATTTTCTTTTCTTTTTTTTGTAATTTAAGGAAAGCTAAGTTTATAAGAAATGGGGGAAAATTGAAATTAATAATCATTTGAACTGTTGAAAAAGCATGGACCAAATAGCGGGGCCCTAAATCCGTGAGCTGCTCCTCCCGGTCGGCGGCAAGGATTTCAAACGCTTAAGCACCTTTTCCGTTCGGCCATGAAAGTGTCCACTTACCAGAGCAGAGTTGAATTCAAAGTCACTGCGCATCGCTATGTGCTAATGAAAATGCGGAGGTAGAATAATGAAGTCCGATTTCAAGGCCCATAAGAGAAGTCCAGATGCTGAATCAATCGTTTCTTGATCCAATTCTGATATACATATTGCCAGCCATAGAGACCAGCGGCAACCACAGGAACAGAGACAAAGATGTCGAAGTCTCGTGCTGCCCAGCGGGAATATGCCATTCAACAGAATCAACACATGGAACATTTTTTCCCTCAACCCCGTGTCCCATAACGTCAATATTGGACACTTTCTCTAAAACTATTCAACCCCCGTTTTGGAACGCCCCGGTATCTGACAAAGTCGGCAAATTTTGTCAGCGAGGTTCGTCGACAGCGACACGTGCCGTCCTGCTCTCTCCAATCTCCATGCCATGCCCGTATCCTGCGTGAACCCCTGCAAAATGCCAACAAGAAGGAAACCTTCCGCCTCTCCTCCCGGACCACACTGTTCCGTTTCAAATTTTTCAAACGTGGGCGTGTCAGCTATCTCATCCTTGTCACAGTTTTTGCACGTTAACAGCACCTTTCTTCGAAACTCCATTTCAACAAAGGGACAAGAACAGCCGGTTCTTCAACGATCTAGTAATACAAATGGTTTTTTTTAAAAAAAAAAAAAACCATTTGTGTAACGTAATATGATTTTAATTGTTTCAACCAGTTGTTATTCATTATTAATTATTCATACAATGTACAAAAATTATTTGTATAAATTAATATAATTTTTAACATTTGAACAAGTTGTAACTCATTATTAATCATTTTTTCAGTAAAAAAAGACAATTATTTATACGACATAGCATACTCTAAAGAACTTTCTCGATACATCCACTACTAAGTTGGGCTAAAGAACTAGATGAAGTTCATCCTCGCGTGTTACCCCTAGCATCAAAAGGGTATAATCACCAATACTTGAGAATGAGAGGAGCAATCATGTAATAGTAATAGAGAGGGTCAAAGTTCAATTGGAAATCCACTGAGCAAAAGAATCAGAAGCATCGATTATTAGCTGCACTAGGAAGTTAGTACATGGGACTTTCTTTTTTTTTCCCCATTTTGGTTTTTTGGCTTTGCGTGGAAAAAAGCCATCTTCTAGAATTGAGAGGGCTGGAAAAGCAAGATGAAAGGTGAGGAGTGAGAAATGGTGGAAAATTGAACTTCGGAGAAGTACTTTTCAAGATGTGGAATGTATCGTGGCCTTGTTTGGAAGACAAGTTCTTTGTCAAGTTTATCTGCTACAAATTTTTTAAAAATTTTAGCTACAGCAACTTCAAAAAACTTTTCAAAAATTTTAAACTATACACTTCAAAATATTAAAAAAAAAAACACAATCCAAAAATTTTTTTAAAAACTTCGACAGTAATTTAAAGTAAAATTTTAGATAAACATTCAAAAAATTCACTTGCCAATCGGGTTCAAGAAATTATATCAAGATCTCGATTATGTCATCTTAAATCAGAAGCAGTATACACGATTGACAACAAATTGATAACAAGAAACTTATAAAAAAAATCGTTTTAATCATCCAGTGCGTTCGGATAGAAGATTATGTGGAGAGTTTTTTTTTTTTTGGAATAACACTGCAGCCAAAAGACGAAAAATTGTTATATTCATTAATTAAGCAATATGCGCCAGTGATTAGGCTAAATCATTTCGGCTTAATTTTTAATCATTGAACAACAGCAGGGAGAACCTAAATCCAAATGGAATCGAGCAACAATATAATAGAAGAAAAGGGGGAATGGATGTGGCTGGACACACGTTAGTATTAGGTACCGATGGATAAGGCTAGATGACATGAATCATTACCAAATGGATCTCCTGAAATGAGGGATACCCTAATTCTTTAGCCAGCTCCACCCTTCCAGAATCCCAATTTCCGCTATCTGTCCGGCCAAACCAAGGGCAGTTTCGTCCTAGTAACTATTCAGTCCGCCGAAGCAACTTGAGTACCGCCACAAACGGTTAAAACTTATGCATAAAGTAAGAGTCAGACGGTCAAACCCTCGCTCCAGCGTTACTCGTCACCTCCACGTGTGCATCTTATCCAATCCACCCCTTTATATAGCATCTCCTATCTCCGACACTCCTCCGTAGCCGCTTTGGCCCCTAAAAGTTTCCTTAGCCTTAAAACACACACAATCGCCCCTTCAAAAACACACACAACTTTTCTCTCTACAAATACTTGCACAATTTCCACTTCGCTGATACGTACCACATCTCTGGTCCAGTGATCTAAATGGCGACCACTATGTTACCGATCAGCGCAGTCGGAGTGAGAGCCTGTGCGAGTACCGGCACCCGGAAAGCTGACGTAAATAACCGGAGGAGTTCATCTTCCAACTGGTGGTCCCCAATCTTCGGCTGGTCTGCTGAGCCGGACTACATTGACACTGATAACAAGAGAGGTGATTTATCATCTATTAGTAAAAAGTCGGAGCAGGATCAGGATCCTAAGCCGGTGGCAAAATCTCGGTTTGCTCCTGGTTCGTTCACAGCGGAAAAGGCCAGGCAGCTCCGGATGATGACGACTGGGTCGTCTACGTTTCATGACGTCATGTACCACTCTGCCATCGCCTCCAGACTCGCCTCCGATTTCTCCGGCCGCTCCGAACTATAATCGCCTGCACAACAGCTATAAATAATTTAGAAATCTGTTGGCGTTTAGGTGGTAGTCGTAGTTAATTTTTTTATTTTCTTTTTCCTAATCTTATTTTTATTAATTGAACAAAATGTGAAGACCTTAAGATCAGACGGTAATGATGTAGATTATCATGTATTGTTGCATGATAATCTGGATCTGATGATAGATAAGCATGTAGTACTTAAGTATCTCTCTCTTTTTTATTGTTGCTTAAGTCAATGCTTATTACACTGTATCATTACATATGTAAATGCTTGTATGACGTGGAGAAGTCGATGATTGGATTAAATTATTTTGGATGAAGATCAGATGATTCATCACTCTATTATTTAGTTTATTGACCCAACTTTCCATTTAAATTGACAACTGATGATGGGATGTTTGGCCAAATAAATCACGGATTAGTGTCCTCAACTTCATATTTTCTTGATCAACAAATCACGGATGGTTGGTTCCGCTGTATGGGCAGTAATTGCAAGAACGATGCAGGAGTTAATATGTGGGGTAGATAATTCTGCCGAGGTTTGAATGGGTAGAAGCCCGATTGGGGCCTAGCAGCAGTCCAGTACGAGTTAATCGAACTGTTTTTAGCCAAGGCCTCAGGGAGTCTGTTTGACGACATTTTTTTTACTTTTTCGTTCCTTTTCCATCCAAGTGGGGTTCATATTCTGATTTGACTATTTTGTTTACTTCTGATACCTTTTCTTTCCAAGTGGATGGCATATTCCGGAGTACACTTCTGATTCTGTGTGTTTTGAACCTGTGGACGATGGATGGTATAGTATTTCCTCCTAGAAAAATAGGAGACAGGGAAAGACGCGGAGCCAGGTCCCGGATATCAAAATATCGACGAGCATATAAATGAAAAAAGAAGAATATGTATGCTCTCCATGTGACTGATGCAGTCTATACGCAGAAAAAAAGAAGTAATTATGAGAAAGGGTGGCAAAAGAATATTCAAGGAAACTATTTCAGAATAAAAATTAAAATTTGGTGCTCCACTTGCCTCTGTCCTGTGTACTCCGTGTGTTTTACCCATTAAAGGTACAACTTCAAGTCAACCATTGGCCACCAAGGAGAGACAGGGAAAGGGAAAGACTCGGAGCCAAGTCCCGGACCATATAAATCCCTCCGGACATTAAGACCCGCCTGGACTGTAGGTAGGAATTTAAATTCCACTTGCATCGAAAAAAAATCATAGGTGGTGTCAAAACAAATTCATAGGTGGTGTCAAAACGCCGCTTTGATCTAATAAAAATTCAAGTCAATTGATCTGTTATTTTGCCCAATCGCTGTAACATGCAGAAGATTGACCTTTTCATTCCTGTGAAACAAAATAGGTCTTTTGCACTGTAACGTACAGTCAATATTGGGTTCATGCTTGACTAGCCAAATAGACAAATGACCCTGCATTTTTCTTTTCTCTCCCATATTTTTATTTGCACACGTATTTCAACGTTATGATAAAATTTATGAAGATTGGTTTTCTATTGTACAAAGAAATACTATCTAATTCACCAATTCATGGGAACAGACTGAAGTTTTGTATTTGAAAAATGTTTCAACAAGTATATAAAAAATATAGCCAGAGAGAGAGATTGAAGGGGGCACGGTGAGTGGAACTCCATAATTATCCATTAGCTTGGGGCATTGCCTATGAATTGGTGTAACAAAAGAGTCCGTTGAATCTCTAGCAGTCGATTCATTGCTTTATTGAAACCGTTTGAAGGCTTGAAGCTAATATGGAAGAGATAATAATGGCAAACAACGGTGAAAAATCAAACCCTAGATTGTCAGCAATACATCATGTTGTTCCGAGATATTAGAGCTGCATGTCATTTGCAAAATGGTGGCTACGTTGCTTCCAAAATGCAGACCTCGCACTGCATTTTATTGATTCACTTGCTCTCAGCATCATATATATCTGTTCTGGATAAGTCGATTAAGGAAAACACGAGAATGTCCAAGAACCATAAAAATCCAATGCTTTCAATTCCCAACAATTTCAAGTGTTGAAGCATTCATGATGATTGCATCACTTTGGCATCTAATTCAATATCTCCGTCCGCCCACACAAAATAAATTTAAAAAGGAAGAAAGGAAAGGGCAGTGTGGGTACAGTCAAAGCATTCTATAAGGCTTGCAGATTACACAATTATTCCAGAAGTAGTAGAAATAGCCATAATTCTGGTGAACAGTAGAGATCGAAAAGAGGGGGACGAGGGAAACAATAACAAACTAAATCAAGTGCAAGTGAGCGTCATGTGCAGAATGAACTCAAGAAGTAGTGGTGTCTGATCACCTATATTCCAGAAGCCCCACGAATGCAGAATGCAATGATTATTAAACTTGATAAGGAAGAGTTTATAAGTAACTCATAGAGTGCCTCCTAAATCCTAACGAAAGTCCAAATTCTACTTGTGTTTTAATTGTGATTATATAAATTTCAAAATGAATACCATGAACCAAGACAGGCTGCATCTAAGCACAGTCTTTACAGGTGCTCATCCAGATTGCAACAGCAAATGTACTAATTACTCAATCAAATGAACAACATCCGTTGTTCTCAAAGATTTCAAGTCTACTGACTCACTGATGCAAACATCCCAAACTCTTCAGTTTTTTTTTTTTTTTTTGGGTGAAAAAGATAGGTAAACAGTAAAACTTTTTCTGTATGGTCATAATACATAGAAAAGCAAAAGTTCAAGTTGCAAAATCTCCCAGTTTAATTGTTTTCCTAGTTGCTGGTAGGATATATACATATTTGTTGAACCAGCAGCCACAACGTCTGATCTTACATTAGCATAATGGCATATCTCCTGTAATAAAATTCTAATCTCAATGCCAAAGCAATATTTTAGGTTCACCATACATATATTTTATAAACAATACCTTTAAACAAAGACAGCGACACAGACAAAGTGTGAAACTAATCCCAGTGGTTCAATTGTTGCATTTGGCTTGCAAATTACCACTAGCAACAACACAAGGCAGCTAATCAGATATGGTGAATTTAAGACCAAATCATCTACCTTGGCTAAAAATAACAACACCTGTTTCATTTTTCTTCTTCTCTGAAACAGAGAATAGAAAAAGAAACTAGTTAAACAATATGATGGTCAAAATGCTAAAACATGCAGCGACCAAGTATTCCTTCAATTTCACGCATGTGATCTCCCAGTCACTAGTTCCCTCCTGACCATCAACAATTTCGTCAATTGACTATTGTTATAAACTTTTATTTTGTATTTCTTTACCTTGATGAGTGAATATTCAGTTTACCATGTCATTTTCTAGTCGCAACTATATCCTTGACCATGTGCCCTACACATATGCTGTTCTAAGTTCATTGCCATCTGATTCAACTTCAGGCACCAACTTAAGTAGATGGTCCTCTAAATCACTCATTACAAGCACGGCAGATTTCCTCTTGCAAATCATATTCCAATACCAGGGACTATCATCCATTATAGACATTGCAAATATTTAGACAATTTTTCTCCAACGAACTAACTTCCCCATATTATTCCTATGAATTTTCTTTAAGAAAAAAAATTCCTAAATAACTCAAGTTTTAAATCAAATGAGTAATTTTGGAAATAAAGTAAAAAAAACAAGTTGTCTGAGAATCGAATGAACCTGTAATTACCAATTTTACTTATGAATAATGAGATCAATCACTGAGCTACATTACTCCCATGGAATTGATAGTTATCATAGGAAACACAAAAGATTAAGGACCCAAAAAAAGGAGGTGATAATGTAAGAAAAAGAATCGAAGGATACACCAAATAAAAGCCATGAGCAAATGCACCAGCCAAAACAGCAGTGAACAAACGATCCCTCAGAACTGGCCTATGCCGCAACGTTAGCCGAACTGACAACAAGAAGCAAAATAATATAAAAGCAATAATCCTATTAGAACATTGACAGCATTAATCCCATGTAGTAATCCAATCTCAATAAAACAAAGAAGAAAAATTCTGGTAACGAGAGGCGTACAAAGCAACGAACTTACTAAGTGGAAGAACAGGAGCGTAGATTAGAGGTACCAAGAACTTAAAAGGGGGTCCTTTATTTTGCCTTCTAACCACTTCCCTTCAACAACAGAATCTATTTAATTCAGAATAACTGATGAAATTTAAATTACTCTAAGAAAAAAAAAATGAAGATCAACGGGGTTGGGATCAAATCAATCAAAATGGTATCCAGAAAGAAATAGAGACAGATCAAAAGGCTTACTGGTTTGCTGTATTCGACGGGGTGGCCATGGTTGTTAAGCTTGAGACTTTTTTTTTTTGACAAAACCAACAGCTGAATTAAATCTTAGGACTAACCTTTTCCTCCGATGGCAGCAGATGCATCAGCGATAAAACGCAAGGAAATTCTATACACTGTAGATGCTAATACTTGTACTTTCTTCCTATTGGGAAATCGGGATTTCCCCTATTTTAAGGTGGCTTGAAATTTTAATGGCTTTCTGTCTCCTCTTTTCTTTTTCTTTCTTTTCCCCCACAATTCACTTTTTCGTTTCCTGCGGTGTCTTAAAATGGGCCGGGCTTTTGGCAATATTGGCATGCGCTGGATCTATTGGCTTGACAAATTGAATGATGCGTCACGTACGTATTCATTTTTGGAAATTGCTTATATATATAAGAAGAGATACATGTGTAATATAGACCCTGTTTGACACTTGAGTTTTTTGCTAAGTTTGTCTGCTATAAGTTTTTTAAGAAACCTTAAAAAACTTCTTAAAGTTTTTAAACTATACACTTTAAAATGTTCAAAAATTTACACACTTCAAAAATTTTTTAAAAAACTTCTACAATGAGTTACAGTAAAGTTTTAGACAAACATCCAAAAAAAACTCACTTACCAAACGGGCTATAGAATGCACCTAAAAACTAATGAATATGTAGAGAGGGACTGTACTATTTGGATCATGAGGTATACATAAGCGAATCTACAACATCAATCCTGTGAGGGAACTAAAGAATGCAGCAAAGTTTGGGTTGGGTACACTCTCTCTTTTTTTTTTGAAATTAATAATGTTTCTTATCCAAAACAATGTAGATACACCTAAAACTGTTTATCAAAGCAGTATAAATTTTTGTTTTGCATATATATCATGTATTTAAACCCTCTAATGTTATGTGTCTACAAACGAAGGGTACATTAATGTTTATGTTAACAAGGTAAACACAATTCAATGTGCTTGGATAGTGATTATTTGGGATAAGCTTTTGAAAAAAAAATATTGTAACACTTTTTTAATGCGATGTATGTGAGATAAAAAAGTGATTAAAAAACATGTTAACGACATGAGCAAGTAAAATCGTGCAAGCAATTCACTGTCCAAACAAGACCAATGAGTTTGTTTGGATAGAGAGAATTTGGTTTGCTTAATTTATTCTCACAAATCCCAATCACCTTTTTATTTTCCCAATCACCTTTTTATCTCACATACATCACATCACAAAAAGTGCTACAGTAAATATCTCAAATAAATCATCCAAATAAACTCTTATATGATTTTTAGGTCGAGAATTTTGGGAAGCCCAATAAAGCCCAGCAGCTTGGCCCAACCAATGTCCATGACATGCAGAACATGGTTGTGGCGTCCGGGAGATGGACTAGCCCAGTAGCTTTAAAAAATGGAAAAATAAGAGGGGATAAAAGATTCAAAGTACGGGTGGACTGCCGAGTCGACAAACAGACAAACGGGAGAATTGACAAATGTGAAAGCACGAAATAGTTTGCAATTCTTTCCAACCAAAAAGCAAGGCGCTACTGGTATCTTCTGGAAGAGTTAATTAGTAAAAGAGTATCTGCCGCCGCTCCAAACAGTAGGGGGGCTAGCGTCCAAAGCAAGCCTAAGTACAGTTTACGCTACTTTCTCCACTTGTTTTTTCTCTTTGCGTTCGTCTACTGCTTCTTCTTCTATATAAAGTCGTACAAACGGACTCTTCCCTCCTGCTCTACTGTATCATCTCGATCTCCACCGTCCGTTAGCTCGTACTTGCAAAATGGTATTTCTCTTTTCTATTTTTGCTGATTTTCAAATGATGTAAAATTTCCCTTTTTTTGGTTGTACCCATTCCTACATGTTTGTAATTATTGTTGTTCTAATCTACTGGTTTCTAGGCTTTTCAATTTGGACTTTTGTGTTTTTCTATTGAGATCTGCTCCTTTGCTGCTGTGGCCACTCTATGTTATTAGGATTTTATTCTATATCGTATACTGATATTTAAATTATTTTCCAAAATCTGTACATCTCAATGGAAGATAGAAACAACAATTTCGTCTGCTTTTGCATTCACCTTTTTTTTTTAAATGTCAAATTCTTTGAGCGATGGAGTAATGTGGTCATAGCGTTATGGATTTTTTTTAAAAGAAAAAGAAAAATGATTTTGTTTGGATTTCTTAATCAGATGGTACGGCGTCAATTGATCGAGTACATATTACGAAAGAATTTGTATTCATGATTCCTATCTTTATCTTTCTCGGTATCTGATTCCCCTTTTTTTTCCCTTCCCTTTGGTTGGTTATGTGATTTCAGGCTTTGCCTAATCAGCAGATTGTGGATTACCCTAACTTTAAGCTTGTGATTGTCGGTGATGGAGGAACTGGTATTATACAGTTTGATTTCATATTGGTAATGCTACTTCAGTTTTGCATGCTTAGTTTAATAATCTCTGCTGAGTTAAGTCGCTTCATTTTGCTTTAATTATTTAGTGGATAAAGTTGTGTTGTCAAAGAATTGAAGCACCTGCTAGACATAGGACAGCCCAAGGAAAAAAAATTATACTTTTGAATGTGGGTTATGTTCTTCTTCTTCTCTATAATGTAATTGGTTTAATACCGTGCAGGTAAAACTACTTTTGTCAAGAGGCACTTGACTGGTGAATTTGAGAAAAAATATGAACGTAAGTGGGTTCACCTTTTACCAATTTTCCTTTGCGCTATAGTTTCATCAACGAGCAATTTTTTTGTGAAAGGAATTTCTTTGTCTATCCTCTCTTGGGATGGTTTACAATTTCGATTTGACTCGTTTTGAGTGTGCTTATTTGTTAAACAGCAACTATTGGAGTGGAGGTTCACCCATTGGACTTTTTCACAAATTGTGGGAAACTTCGTTTCTACTGCTGGGATACTGCTGGGCAAGAGAAATTTGGAGGTCTTCGAGATGGCTACTAGTGAGTTGATATGCATGGATCTGTTTGCGAACATAAGTTTGAGTTTGAATATATTTCTTTGAGCTGCTCAACCTTTACAGTGAACTACCTTTTGAAAATGGATAATGGTTGAAAATCTATACGGTGAAAAGTAACTGCAATGGGTTAGACTTGATTTTTTGAGGGTGAGAATTAAAATACGTCATTGTTGCTGAGTATTAGTGATAAGATCAGGACAGATGGATCTGTTGTCAACACAGATTGGATGTCATGCACGTGTACTAACACGTAAAAGCGGATTGATATCTTTCTGAATCTTGATGTGTAGGACACAGGGAACCCAAGAACATGGATATTGAAAACCAAATTAGAAAAGAGGAACAAATTTGGAGGACCCCATGTGAAAGGAATGGGTATCTTCAAGTGTCTGTGGCTTTCCGCAAATTAATGGGGTTTAGAGTCATTTCATTGCTTCCCTGGCTTAGAAATGCACAGAGTACTACAGAAATAGGATTATTCGTTATTATCTGTAGGGTTAAAAGTTCACAAGAATCATTCACTGTATGGCTTCTAAGTTTACCATTGCCTACATCTGCACTTTTTTTCTCTCTTTTTTTTTTTTGGAGCTTAAATCTAGTATTTTGCAAAATATTTCATGAAAAAATGCTGGGTATTTCTCCTAGATTTTGATTTAAGTAAACAGAAGTTTGGCTATGGTATTAAATATGAAATTACAAAACCACAGCTGATTTTGATCTTCTAGATGGAGCCTTGTCTTTTTACAGTTATTTTCATGTAAAATTGCAGATAAATATAATTTTGGTTGAAAATGAAGCTGAGTTACCCAGTCTGTTACTGCTGATGCATCTTGGATTATTAGTACTAGTGCTAATGGCACACCTGCAATGTCTGCAATATGACAATATTCTATGTAAAAACTAATGTAGGGGTAAAATTATGGGCTTTATGGGTGTAAAATTAATTTTATCCTTACCTTAGCTGTTTTATGTTGGCATGTAAGCATTTTGTCTTATGGATACCCTAGTTTATTATCAAAACATTATGAGATTTTCAATTAGACTCTCATTGTTCACTTTTCAGGATGGGGTGGAAGTGAAAAAATGATTAATGTTTTGCATAAATTTATAAGACATTTTTGGGTTTGTAACTTTGTCCATTGCTAATGCTCCACCCCCTTTCTCTGTTGAAGCGCTTTGGCTGATTGTTAGTTTAATTGATTATTCTTGACCTTCCTTTCAATACATTTGTGGTAAATCTCTCTTTTACTGAACTTCATAAATTGTGATGCAGCATTCATGGGCAATGTGCAATTATAATGTTTGATGTCACAGCACGGCTGACCTACAAGAATGTGCCAACATGGCATCGAGATCTCTGCAGGTTTGCCAGTGTATCCTTGGTGTGCTTTTTCCTAAATTTCTCTTGTGAGAGATTTATCTTTGGTATTTTCTAAGTATAATATGATTTGATATTTTCTGGATGTGACAGGGTTTGTGAAAGTATTCCTATTGTCCTCTGTGGAAACAAAGTTGATGTCAAGAATAGGCAGGTGAAGGCCAAGCAAGTTACATTCCACCGGAAGAAAAATTTGCAGTACTATGAGATTTCTGCAAAGAGCAACTACAATTTTGAAAAGCCTTTCTTGTACCTTGCCAGGAAGCTTGCTGGGTAACATAGAATTATAACTTTATTTGTTGTTGTCTCAGTAAAGAAATTGTGGCATCATTTTGAGCTTCTATTGTTGCTGCATGTTAGGGATCCCAATCTTCATTTCGTGGAATCACCTGCCCTTCTTCCCCCCGAAGTCCAGATAGATTTGGCTGCACAGCAACAGTAAGAGCATTTTTGAAGTTTAATCTTTCTTCTTTCTGTGGATATAGAATCACTGGTTGTTGAGACAAATACGCTGTAGTACAAGGATGTTTCATAAAGGAAGGGGTGTGAATTCTTTCTTCTAGGGCTTGGTGATTAGCAATAATGCTATTCCTGCTTGCATTGACAGCATTCTTTTATTTGTCAATTGGTTGGTTTCTGGTCATATGTTGTGAAACTCTTCAATAGTTGTAGAACTATCTAAAGGATCTAGTCTAAGTTGGACTCACTTGGCAATTTTGCAAATCATTAACCCGGTATCATACATATATGCTTCTGCACTGAGGAAGTGCGAATGTGATGTTGGTATAGTTTCTTCTTCTGACCCCTCATATGAGGGAGGCTATGGGTGCACGCTGAATCCTCTTCAGGTTTTACTGCTACTTTTCTGGTCATTGTTCCAATTCTTTGAAATCAATAGATTGGGATTTTTGTTCTTTTAAATGTTGGATTTGATTCAAGTTTGTATTATGGTGCATGCAACAGTTCAGATGTAGCAAGTATTTTTTGGAAGATAACTGCTTGTTTCAACCTCTGCTCAAATGCGTATGCTCGTTACAAATTCTTAATTGCATGTCCAGGATAACTTTTCCTCTGGGTCCGTTGGTTGGTTACAAGTTCTATGACGAGAATCTGTCTTGAACTATGCTCTCTCACTTTATTGTTTGTCTTTTCAGGCATGAGGCTGAGCTTGCTCAAGCAGCTATTCAACCACTCCCTGACGACGACGACGATGCGTTCGAGTAAATAAGATGGGCCGTTTGCTGCTGCTTCACAACCTACTACCTCGCTCTTTTTGGTTGCAAAGCTTATGAACTTCTAGATAGAAGTAGTTTATTGCGAAGATTAGCGCTAAGTAGATTGTGATTTCGTGCGACGGCGGGCTGTCAGCTCTCAGCTGTTGGTACCCTTGTGTTGTGAGTAGATATTGTAACAACAGCCAATGGCCAAGAGGTACTCCCAGAAATTTTACTTTCTACTAGTCGAGACTTGTACTGTTTGGGCGTCCCATTTGATTGATGTGATCTTGAACTTGTCAGAAGATGGAAAGTGGTAGACGTAACCCCATTCAACAAGCGCTGGGAGTCTCTCAGTATTTACTCATGTAGTCATGTTCTTGCTTTGTGTTCCAATCTGCCTCCAGAGTTCGGAAATCCTATGCGAAAACTCGTCGCCCGCTGTCTCTGAAGGTCGAAAGACGTTTTGATTTGTAGCGTCATACGGAAGCCATTGAAAAAAGGAATAACCCTGGAATGATTAACATTTACGCTTTTCAAAGATTTAGAAATTGGGGTCCATGATGTCAGAAAATCCCATCCCGCCTTTGCTTGCTACGAGATTGGCGCCAATGAGGGGCGACTGCATGTTTGTTATTTAATGTTTTTCTATAATTTGTTTCTTGCGCAAATTTTAGCAAAAGAATTAGTATTTATTTTCAGCAGGGTGATAGCGTCAATTCACAAGGGGGCTTTTGTGATGTTATCCCAAAAGAAAAACCCTGGAATGATTTGCGATTTTCGAAAATGGATATATGAAATAGGAGGAGTGTCAAAAAAAACCCATCACGACGGCAAACGTTTGATTTTCTCGATTCACTTGGCTTGGCTTTTCTTCCCGAATTTTGTTGTTGGGTGACGTCTTTTTTTCCCGATTTTGGGGATTAAGCAAACTCTAAACAGAATAAGTTTGTAGGCGCTCCCTGAAAAAAAAAAAAAAAAAAAAAAAGAACAAAGAACTTCGCCTTAAGTTTGTCCTCCGGGCCCGCCCAATGCTTGGTTTTGTGTCAGTGTGCGGAGCTTTGAATAGGTTTCTGGGGGGGTGGCGTGGCGCATGTGAAGTCGGTGCAAATAGTTTTTTTTCTGACACTACTATGAGAGGTGCAATTTCAGACTTAACACAATGCCTTTGTCGTGTTTGCTCATTTAGGGCTAATGGTAGAATGGTACGGGAAGTTGATCTTTTTTTTTCTTTTTTTTCTTTTTTTTTTTTTTTTTTTCGACGGAGTGGGGTGTCCGGGTCAAGTCCGTAAAGGCGGCCCGACTAATCCCCACTCCGGCCCGGTCCAGCGCCCCAACCAGACCTAGCACGTTAAATGCACGGCGAACTGATGTTGCTGCGGAGGTTCGACCCCAGGACCTAACGGTCCCGAGGAGGAGGCGCCAACCACCAGCCCATTCACGTGGGGGCACGGGAAGTTGATCGCCTAGACAATCTTTCCCCTTGTCGAACTTTGATAGAGTGGGGCACCTCTATTTTGTTTCCTAATGGACAGCACTGTTTGAGTTTATGTGAGTCCACAATACATCTGGGCCATGCCCAAGTGGAACCAGCAGTCCCTCCCCACTTTGCATGGAAAAGATCTTCATTATTATCTGCTAGAATGGAAGCCCAGACAGAAGAAGCACGCCAATGTCCTACATCTACAGCCTTAAGTTTTTTTTCGTCCCTTGAACCTCAAAATGTGAGGTCCAGCGCGAAGGCTTGTACTCGTATTTTTATGCTATCAACCACTAACATGTCCCCGATACATTTTGATCTTTGGAACCAGACAAGTGACCCAGAACTCGAAAACTGGGTGGGCCGCTCTTTTTTCTTGGTTCTCTTACTATGCCTCAATTGTGGGCCCTTCTGTAGTATAGAGCCCAGCTGGAGCTAGATGGTACGCGTCCAATGTTGCCTATTTGCTTACGGGTTCTTTGCCACATCCGTTGATAAAGTGCTCAATTCAGCTCTTTCTTTCTCTCTCTCTTTTTTTTTTATTTCTTTTACCTGTTTTCCCTTGAACTTAGGGTCTATTCTTATCTGAATTTTTTTAGTAACTTTTGATTTCAGAAAATCTGTACGCGATGTTTTTATTGTTAAAATCACAAGTTGCAGAGTACTCTTACAAAATCAATTGAATAACACGCAAAATAAATATCCTATGCTGTCCGTTCCTGTGTTTAGGCACTGAATATACGCTACATAAAGCATACAGGATCATCTGTTCATTGTATCTGTCAACTTTTATATCCAATACAAAACTACGTAGTTTTACTTACTAATAATGTAGCACATAACATTGAATGCATATTTAGGGGGTGTTTGACAAATGGGTTTCAAATTTAATTATATTCATAAAATGATATTTGTTTATGCCCAATTGTACTACCCATAGTCTTCTACTTTGGAATTCCAGGCAGCGTGATTCAAATGAGATTAAGCAAGCATTTGAAAACAAGATCCTTGAATTTGTTAGAGCTGCAGTTACATACAGTCATGTTGATTCAGAAAGCAGGCCGTCTATGCTAAAATTGAATTGAAAATCTATTTACCAAACACCCTCTAAATATATATTCAATGTTATGTGTCATATCAGCAATATTAGTTAGTGAAACTACGTAATTTTGTATTGAACAGAAAAGTGGATAGACATAATAGACAGAGGATCTTGATGCTACGTAAAAACACCGTTACAATGATGACTCAAAGAGTAGTACTGTGAACTTGTGCTGGTACAGGCACTAATGCATGTGAAATCTAAAAAATTGTGTATATTAAAAAAAAAATAGAGTGAGAGAGAGAAGGGAAACATGGATACAAATCATATCGGCTTGCACAGTAACTGGGTCATGTGCTGCTTCTCTAATCAATTGGTCTGCGCAAAGTTGCAAACGAGTCTGGTCCGATGGATCGCAATCCACAATATTTGGCCATGGCCACCAAAGGGCAAAGGCTAACCTTATCGACTCAGGGCATCTATAGACTTGTCTCTATCGCTGTCGGTTCGAAGCGCTCCCAATAGACCCCTTTTGGGTTTTGCCCTCAGTAATAAACACTAAACAGTGGAAATGATTGCTCCCTTCTACCCACCCACTAATACTACTACTACTAATAGCCGAGCCCCATCATTCCAACCCAGACCCAGAACACAACGACTGAGTGGGCGCTCCTTCCTGTTCCCTCCCTCCCAGATTATACGGTAGAAAGAAAGAAGGAAAGAAAGAAGGAATGGCCTGCCGGTTTTACGTACAAATCGAAAATATAACTAGGAGAAAAGCTCTTACAACATGGCTTTGCTTTAGGAACGTTAGCTCCTCCAACTGCAATTTGCTGTTCGTTGAGCTCCCAAGGCCAAACATTCCAGTAACTTTCACTGTCGGTGGATGGTCGGAGTTCTGGGCACACCGATCTCCCAAGTGATCCAACAGCCCCCTCTGGCCTCTCCTCATTTTCTTTTCACAAGTCATCTTCTATTGCTATTTTGCCTCAATGCGGCTCCCCCATTCCTGTGTCCCTACTACTGTTTTGCTTTTTCCTTTTTTTTTGGTGAATTGGCTATTCCTTCCTTGTCTTGTTGATCGATCGTTGTTTCACTCGTATCGTCTTTGAATTTTCCCATGTCTAGAGTCCTTCTCATCCGATTTTCCATCCAATTAACGGATTTCGGTTAAAAAGAAAATAACTTTTCAGCACAGTGGAAATTATGGATCTGTGACTCGTTCATTATATACGCTGAAATGGAAAACTGCAATTTGTGTCCATTGCCTTGGTTCTTACATGCGGACCTACAAAAACTTGTTATGTTTGGTCCTTTTTTTTTTTCTAGAAAAAAAAAAAAGAGACGCAGGTAATTCTTTAAGTATTTTAAACTGGGCCCATCAAGTAAAAGTACTTACCCAAACAAGCCCACATCAGTAGTAGTACGTCAAGTTAACAAGAATAGTCCAAAGAAAAAGAGTGGTCAAGAGGAGTAATGATGCAAAAATAAGAGGCGTCTACACTGCCTGGAAAACGGGCACGTCTCTGTATGAGCTCGAACAGCATCAAAGTTGTGTCCTGTCCGAACAAGTACGTATACATATATATATTTTCATGCTTGATGCTCCCACAGTCCCATCCAGTAAATATGAATTAGTATAAATTATGAAATGGGAGTACAAAACCAGGTATATATTAAGGGCACACGTACGGTCCATGGCGTATGAATGCTCAACTTTGTAGAAAATGAAGAGAGACTTGGGGAGTTGTCCTCATTAATAGGGCAAGGAGCAGCTAGCTATATACTACCACTATATAGGAAGGAGTACAAGGACACAAGACAAGAATAACATGATCGATCCCTTCATAAATACTCTATTAGACATGCTCTGCACTTGTGCCATGTGCCAAGGCTTGCAATGGAGGAGCAAATGCAAGAGGCCAGGAAGCAACTGTCATTGTCTCTTAACATGAATTTATGCTATGACCTTTTGCCTCCATGATGCAAGCAGAACGTAAAACAGTCTGCGATGCTGAATCTCCCAAAGCTTCCTTTAGTTAGCATCCCATTTTGTTTCGAGTCTTTTAACTGTCTCATCTTTACTTCTTGGAGGGGTAGGGGTAGGGGGAGGGGGAGCTGACCATATGTTTCACCATGCAAACAATATAACATGCTGCAACATGTACATTTTCATGTATCCGAAGGGAAAAACACAACACAGCTGACAGCACTACATTAATTTCTTTGGAATTCGAGATTGGCATTACCCTTGAAAATTTGTTCTTATTGCACAAAATCTGTAATTCAAAAGGTAGGTAGCCAGCCTAATTTAGCTTTCTTTTCTTTTCTTTTTTTACTATGATTAATGACCTCTAAAATCTTTAGCCCTTTTAATTTCTAGGCTAACGTGGGAGAACTTTCTTTTTTTTCTTTTTTTAACGACAACGATAACATTTCTATAACCTATTTGAAACAACTATTTTGAAGTCTAGTTATAACTAGATATGAGAACGATGGAGCCTTTATGGTTGTAAACATTCATGTAGATACAGATGATTATGTACTAATGAACTGCTATTAAAAAACAAGGTACTAATGAACTTTTTTGCTCTTTCCAGAAAGCCATCTTTTAAACCTGAGGTTTTATTAAAAGAAATAATATATATATATATATATATATATATATCTATATCTATGGAGAAGACAAAGAATAAAACAAAGAGAGGAGGCAGAAAAAGCCACATTTTGAAACAAACAAACAGAGACTCTTTTGCAGCTGAGGCGAAGAGACAGGTTACCACCTGAAATTTGGCCTTATTCTTCAGTCGCAATCTGCAATTGCTCTTTGCCAGATTTCCATCTTGTCTACATGCTGAGCCATCCATCAGCTTTAATAATTTTTCGTATAAACGATCATCACCCCCAACACCCAAACCACACCCAGACAAATCTTTCCTCCACCTTTTCCACTTCCCCCCTTCATTCCCATGATTCTCTTTATCGCGTTCATGGGTCCTTTCTATTTTCTTTTCTTTTTTGTTGGCACTCTGAATAATGGCAAAATCTTAACCCTCATTCATAACTAATGTTGACAGTTAACGAAACTCATCTAGCCTTTCTCCTTGCTTACTAATCTATTTCCATTTCCCGGCTGTAATTAAAGCACGTAATACATATCTCATTGAATGGGGCCAAAG